GTGTCTATTTGAGTAGTGGAAAATCTCGCAAAACAAGCACTTTTCTCTTCAACATGTTTACGATATCCATTTAATCGATTGTATGTTTCAGCTTCATAGTCGAAACTTGTAGACAATACCGTTGTTGGTGAACCAATATAATGTTTTTCTTCTCCAGTTGCCGACCGATCAATAAGAATCATATGGTTACCATTGACGCCAAATCTAAAAAGTTACACGACATATTTGAAATCATCACAAAAAAAGATCTAACCTGCCACTTTTTCCAACTACGCCATCGATTCCATTTTGACCCATCTTACGTTCAATCTTTATTGGAAAGTTTTTGCCGGTTTCAGGATTTTCAGCTTTGCAAATACCTCTATAACCACCTTCACCGCCAACTCCATTGCTGCCTCCCTGCGTACCAGCAGTACCTTCAGATCCGATAACCATAAAATACAAGTGATATGTAGTATACACCCATCCAACATCACCAGCAAATGAATATTTGATAATTCGTCCATGTTCATCTGTAAATTCTTCATAACCAAATTGTTTTGATCTATCCCATTTACAACGTGTTCGGTTCCAATTACTTGGTGCCGAATAACCTTGAAATATAAACTTGAATATTTAACGCAAAGATTATCAAGTTCATTTTGAGTTATTCCAATACCATCTTTACCATTATATCCATTGCCTCCATCACCACCATCTTGACCACGTCCACCATTAAGAAATACACTAAGCCATGATGGATTAACCATTTCTGTGGTATACAAATAAAAATTTCCACTAGAATAACCTGGAAGACCATCGGTACCATCAGAAGCTCGTTTGGAATTATTTTGAGCACTTGCCGCTTTAGATTTTCCAGGCCTAAAATTAAATTCATTAATTAATATTAGTTTAATACAATGCTATTGTAATCAGTTTTTCTTGACTGTATCTATCCTGATCGAACTGGACTTTTGAATTCGCAGAAAATGTGAATAATCAAGACATACAAATAGTGTGAGAAGTTTCATTGTATTTTAAATCTTAGTCTCTTGTTTAATTCAAGATTTAATTTCAACAAAAATCCTTACTTTCGTGTATTTTTACTCGAAAAAGAGTCAGATATTTTCTAGTTTACAGAAACATAGTTTAATTCACACTCATTTCTCATGAAATCCTTATTACTGATTGTTTGTACCTTGTAATAAGAGTTGACTAGTCTAGCAAAAGAAATGGAGTGTTGATCTATATCACACTCTTACTCAAAAACATAAAAAAATTCGAGTAGAAATACTTTATGACGCGTTGTTACTGCTAATAAACCGACTGTAGATTGTTTTCATGCAACGTATAATTTCTGTGCAGCTTGCAAATCTACGACATAGTGGATATTAAATGAGTTTGAATGCCCTTCACTATTCTCTAATGGTCACTCAATAAACTGAATAGATTTTTATGTTACAAAAAAAAACAGTCATATAGTTCACAAAATGTACTTTGCATTTTGTACTCACGAGGGAACATATTCAGATGTCAAATCGCTTTTGGTTCGAGTGTATGCTCAAATGATAGATGTCAATGGGTTATTAAAGACTTCACAACGATTTAGTTTTCCAGATCTTCGGAGCAGAAATAGACGCTTATTAATATGACCATTTTTGCTGTATTATTGAACTACTGTATTACATTTGATATCTTGTCTAAACATGTTGTGATCTAACTGGAATTTATATCATTCGTAAGACACTCAGTATTGATTGAAATCCAGGAGTTTAAAGATAAATCAATGTTTTCCGTTAAAAATATCAATATATTTCATATGCTAATTGATTCAGAATATATTTAATCGACATATTCAGCATATTACAGTAGTTTAATAATACAGGAACAATAGTCATAGTAATAAGCATCTATTTCTGTTCCGGAGATCTGGAAAACTAAATCGTTGTGAAGTCTTTAATACCTCATTGAGGTCTATCATTTGAGTATACACTCGATCTAAAAGCGATTTGACACCTGAATATGTTCCGTCGACAGTTAGGTTTATCTTCTGCAACATTATGATTTCCTCGCTAATCTTTCTACTAGATTCGGCTTTTAAACTAAATTTGCTTTCAATTAAAATGTGAAATTCTTCGGAATCTGTACGATTATAGTGGCATGAAAATGACCGCTTCTATAATTGCATGATTTTCCATTTTGACTGTTTAATA